AGCTACTCTTTAATTTGTCCTGGTCGTTATTATCAAAATGTTCAATATTTGTGATATCGTAACTTGTCAGCTTGGATACCAAACTTTATAATTTGGTTAGTAAAAAAGATGTCTCCTAACCCGAAGGGTTAGTGATCCAAGAATAAAATTCGACCCCTGTGAATGTTGGAAAAGTATCCTAGTTTGTAATAATCACCACCTTTCGATACTTTTCCAGTCAATATTTTTTAGTCGTTCAATGATTTTAATCCCAAATGACTTCCACAACTGACATTCAATTCTTGACATGTTCCGTCAAAAACCTTTATCTTCATATACCTTCATCCAACTAGATTGCTGTGAACAAAGCACACTCGATTTTATTGGCTGCCTTTTCTGTTCATGTTGCATCCTTCCTAGTTCGAGACCAACTAAACAGCAAGCTATGTCCTTAACTTCTTCAATTGCGGTTCTTGTAGCGCTCCGTTTTGCTTCTCCGTAGTATTTAGATCTTCCAAGTCATCTTCGCTGTCATCCAGGTCATCGTCTTCAGTTATTTCTGTATCACAAAAGGGAAATAATGCATTGGTATCGATGGCACCTGACGATGTGACGATGCGTGAGAAAACTCATTTACCTTTTATCTTAACTGCGAGCTCGAGCAATTATCACTGAGAGAGTTAGAGATAGTTGTGAATGGAAAGGGAGCTTGCTGCATGAACTGAGGGATTTTTATTTTCTTTCTCCACACCTGGATAAACTTGACGGTTTCGGTGAGAAGATATTACTTTAATCTAAAACTTGCTCAAACTTTACTCACGCTTTTCCAAGGCCGAGTGTGTTTCTGATGTCTTTTCCTGTTCAATAATTTCCGTTAAACAAGAGTTAACATCCCGTTGAAGTTTCTTTAAGGAGTGGAGCAGACTTTCAAAATCATCTTTTCTTCCTTGAGAGTGCTCAGATGAAAGAAGCACATGTCTAAATTCTACAACTTCACCTGTTCCTTTCGTCAGTGACCCTACGACCGCCATTTTGGATATAAGTAGAACCCAGTCTACGTCCTATGAACTGTAGTAGCTGCAAGGAACGCCTGTCTTGAATTGTTTCAGCCTCAAAAAAGAGATGCAACTAAGTGAATGGCCGCCTGCGCGGAGAAAAAATCAACAAAGGAAGAATTGAGAATTGTTTTGTCGTGGTTTAACTGTTGGACAGAACAGCAAAGGTATGAGTTCATGGATATCCTCGCCAATAAAGTCACTCCAAACAAACTATGTTCATTAAATGATGCCTTGGAGTCTCTGTCATTAGCAAGCCCAGACGTTTTTCATTGCCAGCTTCGTATGTTCAATAAGTGGTTTTCGCAATGGACTGACCAGGAAAAGAACCTGTTTGTGAATGGTTTGGAGGAAATAGATTATCAATCCGTGCAATATTTTTATGAAAAAGTGTCTCAAACTGCACAGCAGGAGTAGGGAACTGTTACTCATTTTCCAAGTTTGAGAACTTGCCCTGAATTAAAACAGCTTACACGGAAAATAACGAAGAGCCTACATTTCCTTCAGCCTTTTTAGGAGGTGGCTATCTGAGACTCTGGGTCAGAACAGGAGAACTGAAAAGAAGTAAACTGTGTTGTAAGTCCATACCTAACCATCTGTGACAGATTACCTCTGGTTCTTCTTTGGAATGCTATAATATGGTTGAAAAGCCTTATCTGAATCCTTTGTCAGTTTATCTCCAGTGCTTTGTTTGACAGGTAATCTTTGCATACATACATACATACATACACAATCTTTATTTAAACACCATGATTTTTAAAGCTATAAAGCTTGTGGGGTTGTATTTTTCTTAGTATTTATCTTTGGTAAATACTAAGAAAATTTCCCCCTTGTGACTTCAAACAATGCATCTGAAAGCTTAACCCTTTAATGCCTTAGACTGATGAGCATGTAATTTCTCCTATCTGTGTCACCACTGAATCTAACATTAATTAAGGGGATGAGAATAAAGGAAATGATCACAAACCCAACAAGCTCTTGATTGTAAGACAAATTCTCCTTGTATCATAAGAAATGTAGGAAAAACAGTAAAGAGAAGTTGTATACCGATAATGTGGTGCAAAGGTATAGTGAGATAAAATTAGCATGCAAAATTCACCATTTGGTTGGTAAGTCTTTACCTAGGTGCAACTGAATTTTTCTTAATGTTATTTGTTAATGATGCAATACAATTTATAAATCTTTACTTAAAACGCATCTTTTTAAACTTGCTTAACATAAGTAATGTTTCTAAAATTTTACATTACGTACCAAGAGTTTTTATTTCAATTTTTAGCTTTATTTACTATGTACATTTGAGTTTCAATTTGCTTTTTAACTTTTTAATAGCATTGTTCCGCTCTTTTGATCATATCTACATGGAAAAAGTGTGTTATAAATTTTGAATTAATATTATTATTATTGAAGGTAAAGTGAGATAAAATTAGCATACAAAATTCACCATTTGGTGGGTAAGTCTTTATGTAGGTGCAACTGAATTTTTCTTAATGTTATTTGTTAATGATGCAATACAATTTTGATAATAAAGAAAACTTTGAAACTGATTTAAACTTAAAATTAAAAAATAGATAAAGAAAAGCACCATTCTTAGACTTTCATGTTTTCATTCAATGCAACAAATGATTTAATTGAAGTTATCCCCAGAAGTGATTGACTTGTTACTTTTCCCTACAATACATTCACATTAATCTGCCAAAATATTTTTGCTGATTTTACATCAGTTTCTACTAAGTATCTTCCAGGGAGACATTTAGCAGCCAGAAGGGAGAATTACTCAACATATCTTGGGAGTGAGTTTAAACCCAGGTGTCCCTAGTCATTAGTTAGGTGTGGTTTAGTACCATTACACCACCACAGCAAATATATTAAGGACCTTTGCCTATGTNGGTAACAGTTTCTTTCGAAACTATCAGCCTTTATTCAATGGTCTATAAGAACCTTGGCTGTTTCAAGAGATGAATGCAGATTTATAATATAGGAAACATAACCTCCATCAATAAACTACAAGTGTAGGGAGTTATTTCATGAGTGAACCAAGTTCACTTCGTTACATTTCAAAGTCAAGGTCATCTGAACAAAACAAAAATGGCGAGTAAACTGATCCATTTTTTTTTTATACAACTTGGTGTTTTTTTTTGCAATAATTTGACAAGATTCTTATTGATAAACAATATTGGCTCAAAAGAAAAGACTTACATATTTTCTGAACTTTTCTCTTATTTTAAGAACCTCCTCACAAATATTTCTCAGAAAGATTGAACTATTTCTGATAAGAAAAAGTTGAGACTAACTCAGCCCCTATCTTGTTTCAGTCCAAAAAAAAAAAATGAAGCACTCTTCCACAAACCTCTTGCTTGAAGGAAAAGTTCGTTGAATTAGTACATAATGTGCCAGAAAAAAATTAAATAAATGGTAGTCTGTATTCTTGCTTTAAATTCCAGCAAGTAAGAGAATGGATGGAATGCCCTGAACCTTTTTGAAGAAGGCTACTTGTTTTAAATGACCAGGAAGTTTTCCACTCTCTTAATTATAGCTGTGGTAACCTTAGAAACTTCACTCTATTCTGTTGTGAACTCGCTAGATTGTTTTTCTTTTAATTTCACTTCCTTCTTCTGCTGCTGATCTTTTCTTTTTTGTTGTTTTTCCTCTACTTCCTTTAGCCCCATGACTTTCCAAGCTGGATTGCTAGAATTCATGTTTTCTTTAAGAACCATAAAAAACTGCTCATTTATTCTGTCTTGTGTGGCTAAGGCCTCGGGTGATGTTGCCTCTGCTGGAAGTTTCTAAGAAACAGAAATTCATAATTAGAAAGAGGATTACTGTAAGTAACAAGGGCCAGTAAAATTATGGAAATATGAGACATGTGGTGATTATAATTATGTAAGTGTGATATTAGTAATGACTAAAGGCTGATAGTTTCGAAAGAAACTGTTTGGGGCTGCGTCGGTGGGAGTAACAAAATAATTTGGATATGTCAACAAAGTTGAAATGGTAAATTGGCCACCGTAATGATTACAGAAGCTGACGTTTCGAGCGTTAGCCCTTCGTCGGAGCGAATGATATTAGTATGTGATGTGAATTCTATCACACAAAGAATTTTTCAACGAGTTATGTTCTCCTTTTCAGACAGTAGCTGGTAAAATTTATTGCCCTTAGTATCTCTTATTTCCTCCTGAAATTGCTTAGAATTCTTAAAATTCAACCTGTAAAAGGATTGCTTTTCCAGTTTGAACATTTCTTTCACCAGTCATGCTCAAAATAAATGAGAACACTGTTGAAACAACAATTATTTGATTACCCCTATAATATTAGCCTGTGCTATGCTCTGAGTCTGTAGTGAATTTTTTGAAAAAGTGGGAGAAAAACAGGTGCAGGGGTCCCTGCAGTTTGTGATCATCTGCATCTGTGACACTAAGCAAACTGCAAATGAAAACAAATTGTCATTTCTATTTATTTATGATCACTGACTGTTAGAGACTGTTAGATGCAAGGGGTAGTTGCTTTACATGTGCCTAGGCCTAAAGGGTAGGAGCTCTTTCTCCTATGACTCTTTCCACATGGATGCGGACACNNNNCCCTATAACCAAGACGGATCCGTCAATGGAAACCTAAGATTTGTGTTTATCATAATAACATCATATTAACGTGGAATTCGACCTTCCTACCAATGACATAGCCAGTTACATAATTAAGCTCGTATGATCCACATTTCTTTGAAGGTAACAACCTACAAAATCTCAGTCCACCAGGATTTCCGGAAGAGATTCATTTCGTTTTCCTTATATTATAAGTGAGTTCATGATTCTGGCTATTTTAATCTTTAATATCATTGTCCTCTTAGAGAACTTAGATAGGGTAAACGCCAGAAACTTGCAGGTCAGAGACGTGTATGTAGCCATCCTAACGCGACAAAATAATTGTAACCAAACAACTACCTTGATCATGTCTTCTTTGGTTGGTACAAGAACTTTCATTAACATCCAAGCCAAGCCAGTACCGCCGACCATAATTCCTGAACTTAGCAAAAATCGGTATAAACTGTCACTTATCGCCATTATTGATCGATAAGTCGAAAAGATGAGGTTATGTAACCAGGCCCAGAGATATTGTTGATCTCGGAAAGGATTGGGCACCATTCGGCAGTCGATAAATAAAGGCACTTTAAAAAAATCTATGATCTTCTGAATAACTAGCAAAAATGGCGTTATCTGAAAAAGATATTAGTTCTTCCATCACTGAACCGGACGCAAATACGAAGGGTTTCACTTTTCAGCAGACGATGATTCGAGTAAAGGATCCTAAAGTATCGCTGGATTTCTACACGCGTGTAATGGGCATGAGGTCAGTTTGGGCCAATTCTTTATGGCGCCAATCTTTATCTGCGTTGTTTGTCTTAATCAGTCAAAGTAGCATGTACAATTTCTGCAGTTTAAGGTTATTTTTGGAACTTTCCTCCGCAACTCTCCCTCTGTGAGTGTGGACGAAGAAGAAGAGAACGGGGGTGGAGAGGGGTGAGAGGGTGTCCGAAATTTCGGGTGGAGTGTGTGCTTCTTGAAACACCTATCAGTTTTCAGACCATAGATAAGTTGTCTTTTTCTCTATAATTTTTCAAACCTGAATGGTGACGAGAGGCATTATCTCACAAACAACATAGACTATCCAATTTCAGACCCTGATCCCAAGGGTTGTACACTGAATCCTTACCAAATTTCAAAGAAGTTTGCCCCACCCTTGGCAGAGCAATATAGAAATGAACCCTCTGAAATTTTGGCCACAAATAGAGAGGCAAAGCTCTGCAAGACATGAGTCTGAATTCTTTTTTCCATTACCCTCCCCCTTGTTAGACATTACTAATTTTCTCAAAATTGCAGTAAGGTATAATTATGCATTGGCAATGAGCCATAAATAAATTATTATTCCTCTAAATTCATTTATTTAGGAAATGTCTAAATTCTCTTTCATCTGGTGCATTGTTTAACCTTGATTGCGGATGGAGGGGTCAAATTTGTATCTTAGGAGACTGACTACTAACAACTGTTTTTTTTTTTTTATTAATTGTCCATGTGATATAGGCTTTTACAGAAGTATCACTTTCCAGAAATGAAGTTTTCTTTGTACTTTCTGGGATTTGAGGAAGCATCAGTCATTCCAAGTGATGCTGATGAGAAGACCAAGTGGCTTTGTGCTCAAAAAGCAACTTTAGAGTTAACACAGTGAGTAAGAAATGTAATATATTTGTGATTTGTAGTCACTGTAATTACTTGCTAATTAAGAGTACATATACTATACAAGTGTGTTAAGTTACTGAAGCACACATTTGTGAACATTAAGCCTTATGGAGTGGGCTGTGACTTTGAAAATTAGCTCCTCAGTGCCCACAAAAAAATTGCCTTATCTTGCAAGTGGTTTGGAAAAAGTATCTTTCAGACTGTAGATGTTAATATGGATGTTTTTGAGTAAATCTGACAAGTATTTATGTTTTACCATACTGACAATAAATTGCATATTTTCCTGTATGTTTCATCATCAGTGTGTTACAAGTTTATTAATGATTGAACTGAACCTCCTGGAGATTTTGAAACTCTTTTTGATGTCAACAGTAACTGGGGAACAGAGAATGACCCTGATTGTAAATACCACAATGGAAACTCTGAACCAAAGGGTTTTGGTGAGTATACCACCTTCCTTTTACATTCTGTAGCAGGTAGAAACAATTTTAAAGAAAGCCATTCTTATGATCTATACAGGTCACAACCTCAGAGCTTGGCCCAGTTTTGAAAGCATGTTTCAATCAGAAGTATTGAGTTTCAAGTTACCATTCAGAAATTTCTGATTTCTTTGCCAGTCTACTGGCATCCATTTAGACTCTTAGATGGAGAGAGGCACTGTGAGTCAGACAATACTCCACAAGGACATGCCTATTCCTTGAACTCGTGCATTTCAGACTATACTTCAATACACATATCAGAGAAATCAAAGGCCATTAATCCAATGATCTAATGTTATAAAACATCAATGCACTAATCAAAGACATGGAAAGCCAATTTGTCTCTCACCTCAAATGACTAAATGTTACACTGTCACTCTTAAGTTTACTAGAGGTGATCTTAGAACTACATTTTTTATCATAACTTTTGCTTTGTTTCTTCGCATCCAGTTGTCATGAAGTTATGACAAATAAACTGCCTCCCCAATTTGAATTAGATCTAAGGAATGAACTCTGCTGAGTGTTGTAAGTTCAATTTCTGCCAGAAAAGAGAAGTTTATTAAGCCTACATACATACTAGATAGATTCTATGTTCATCTTATTCTCTCACTAGGCCACATTGGTTTCACAGTGCCTGATGTGGACAAGGCCTGTGACCGTTTTCAAAAGCTTGGGGTGAAATTTGTCAAAAAACCTAATGATGGTAAGCTTGTATGATGATTGCTAAGTGGAAAACATTCACAATTTAGTTTGAAAACCTCTAATTTGGAAACTGAAGATGGGATAATCAGCTGATGATAACTGACAAAAGCTGACAGTAATTAACCAATTTCTATACAATCATCCTTGCATTAAACAGTATTCTTTTTTTTTTTATCAAAATACTTTGAGAGGATTGTCTGATTACTTAGGAAAGTATTTTAGAGACTGAGAACTCATTTGGAAACATTTTAACACAATAATTTCTTTGCATTTGTGTTCAGTAGTAGTCTCAATGATATTGATCTAATTATTAGATATTCATTTGCTTTCCTTCTTTCCATATAAAGGTAAAATGAAAGGAATTGCATTTGTTGAAGATCCTGATGGCTACTGGATTGAAATTCTCAATGGAGAAAATCTTCTCAGTGTCACTAAAGCTTTTGCTTCTTAGAAGCATTGCTGATGTTTTGAGGTTCAAAGTTTTTGAAAATGTACTTCCAATCAACTGATCAGTGGCAAACTGTCTTTAGAAACTTCAGAACCAAAGCATTTCTCTCCAATAAATAACAATGATGATCACAAACTTTAAATCTGTAGAGATGTATTGTAATAAAACTGCAAACTTCTATGCAAGACTGCTAAAAAAAAATTGTTGTGTTGTCTCATTTGTAATTGTTAATGTTTCTCTGTTCTTCTTTATTAAGTTATCCAAATCCATTACTTCTTCCTTCATGGGAAGGACAAGGTGTCCAATAAGCTTTGGAGATCATGGTATTCTGAAACTCTTCCCTGTTAATTTTCTTGAGTTATTATTGACTCAGCCCTGGAGAATATAATTTTGTTACTCTAAATTAAGTTTATTCTTAGACAACTATATTTTTAAGGAAATCCAGGAATTGAGAATCATTAAGTTTATTTGCATTTTTTAACCTCAACTTCTTTCACTTATAATTACAGACTAACGATGCAAACAAATAAATAAGGCTACTGTCACTTTATCTAATTAGCTCCTTACACTTACACTCTCGATAGTGCTCAATACCTAAATTCTCCTTAAAATTTTAACATGCTGTCAATTAGAAAGGTACTCTCGGATGTTGCTTTGTTATTGATGTCACAACAAATTCTCAGGATGGAGTAATGGAGGAATTCATTGTTAACAGTTGGGAGAATTTAGTTCTAGATATTGGGAGTGAAGATTTGTTGACTATCATGATGTCTTGTGTGGAGAAATGGTTGTGAAGGGACTTGAAGCTTTGTTTGCAGCTGTCCTATTGTCTGTTTTGGGTCTGTCAAGTCCTCTTGTGACTTGTGGGGTGTTAGTTTTGTACAACTGTGGACTGCTGTATGGCCTTGTTAGCATAGAACTGCTAGGAGAACTGGCCACAGATGGTAGACTCGGAATATTCACCTTTGTAGTACTTGATGGTCGTATCCAATCATCTTTGAATACTTGAATTGTTAAGTGTGATACATGACTGGATAACTTGTTGGTTACGTGAGCAAGCACCATCTGTAAAAGAAAACACAGAACAGAAAAGATCTGTTTGAGGCTGCAGAGCTCAGATTGAAAGACAAGGTTCATGTGTTAACTAAATTTTAAGGCAGAGAGTGCCTCAGTTCAAGATCAATTTAAATCTTGGTTCAACATCATCATTATTCTTAACAATCTTAGAAAAGAATAGAACAGAATCTTTACTTATACACGATAAGAATTAAAGCTAAAAAGCTTGTGGGGTCGTGTACTTAACAAAATAGTACGATGTACCAAGTGACATGTAAAGCCTCCACAATACTCTGCCGGTTGTTGGAAGGAGGATGAGGATGGAGATAATGCTATTCATTGGGTGAATCACTATGCACTGGATTAAGCACAGTATGTTTTGTTAACACTGATCTGCTGGACAGTGGTATCTACTCTTCGAACAACTGGGCCCTTTACTATAAATTTGTAGTCAGTCATGTCAAAGGAAAGTTTTCTTTTTGCGACAAAAAAAAAAGAAAAACACTGTGATCTTCCTCTTTTACTATTTGGATGTAGTTTTGAAGGAATACTTCACAGCTGTCCTTACCTGTTCACTAGCATCTCTTCTTACTCTGACATGCAAGGAACCAGCCTATACAAGTTTGACAGCAAAATGCTAATCATTATTATAATTAAAACCACAGTCAGAAATATTACTCAACACAAGAAAACCATTAATGACATACTTTCTGATGCCAAATTTTCAAAATATGCAGTTACAATTATGAGACAAACCTGGTGTAAACTTTCCTTTTAATTAATTTTGACTTTCCTTATTTTAATGTCTCCTTAAAGGCCCATGTTATGTAATTTGTCACATCAGACTTAAAAAAAAAAAACCTTGGGGGCAGTTATTGAAAGCTAATTGCACAATCTTATCACCATAGCAATCTGCTCTTTATTTCTTTTCCATAAGAAATGTCAATGAGAAAAAAGGCATTATGGTGACAGTAAGGTGTTTTATGTATCTCACCATTCTTCCAAATGAAACTGTCCAGAAGTGCTCATTTCTGAATTCCAACACACCATCTAATGTAGATGCCTACAATAGTAATGAAGTAAAGCTGATTGATCTTTTCTCAGTAATTAAAATATTTGGGAGGAAAGCACAACTGGATATATGAAGAGTTCTGAGATCACTGACCAAGCAATAACCGCAAGGCAAATGTCAGGCCACTAGGTATTACAGGTTATATCGCACATAGAAAGTAATAAAACTC